CACATGGGAAAAGACAAGCCATTGAGCCACATACAAAATGCAATTAATGCTTTAAAAGCAGAGAGTGAAAATACATGTGAAATATACAGTATGTAGTTACATAAGCTAACTTTCCAATTTGGCATAGTGACAGGATAGTTGGGAGGGAACGTAAAAGAAAATACTTATAGCTTAAAATTAACAATAGGCCCAATTTATTCAAGGTGGGATAGTTCTTCCATTTCAGCTTGAAAGGACTGAAAGTCTTTCTGTCCTCCTCCAGGAGGGAAACTGCAGCTGGCATGCCTGGAGAAATCACTCAACTATATTCACAGCTTTACTAACACTTAAGCAATGGCAGGCAGTCTTCACTCTTACAGTGCACCAAAAGCACAAAAATGTTGATATGCAGGTGTTCAAATTCCCTCTTTCAAAGATCATTTCAATCAATTTCTTCAGAGGGAAGCCAATCCCTACACAAAAGATTTATAACCACTAAAATGAGAAACACTTATCAGTATCTTTGTCATTTTATTAGATAGTCTTGTGACAGGTTTTAAGACACCAATTAGCACTGTAGCAACGTGCTTATTTCTTTATTACCAACCTTTAGTGGCTTCTATAATGTATTTCTATTACTGACTGAATAAATAAATTCACAGCAAAATGTTTCACAATTTTACCTTACTCTGCTCTTCATTATATTCCCAAACAGGGCTCCATACTCCAACAAATGAAAAATTTCTTCTGCTTTTCAAATTCAACTAAAATATTTTCAGAATCTAACATTTTATCCTCCCATAACTCTTGATAATCAAAGTCTGGCCTCATTCTATTCTGCTAAAGAAACATCCAAAATGTGTTTATGGCAAATTCAGAGATCATCTTCTGTAAATCCAAATAATGATAATGAAGAAAAAAGCTTTAATGCTATCTATACACGAGAAAATAACATACAGCCATCTATTTCAGCTTTAGGATGTTGAATTTAAAAGATGTGATTCACAAATATATAATCCTCCTTGTAATTTCATCATGAAGAATGCCAACTTGCCAAAATATAGCCTTGAGTTGTGCAACAAGTCTCCTATTTCTTCTTATAAAATATACTGGCAAAGACCAACAAACCCACATTGCTACAATGAAACCCATCCCAGCATTCCATGACTTTAGGGCAATTCCCATAAACACAGGGTCATAAAAAGAAAGCCTGCAAACTCCTGTAGCCAGGACTACATTTTTAAGGACAGCAAACTAAAGACAAGGAAGGACATGTGAATATGTACTTCAAATCATGCAGATCTGAGGGTCTCCAAAAACAGGAAGAACTGCTAATCAAATGACCTTAGAAATCTACACACAATTCATACAATCTAGATAAAAAAATCTGAGTGACATGTTAAAATTTTATAGCTTACATTCTTTACAAAACAAGTCCTATTCAGCATTTTCATATGCTGGTACAACAAAACCTCAAGAAAACAGAATGAAGAAAGAGAGAGAGAGAGAGAGAGGGAGGGAGGGAGAGAAAGAAAGAACAGAATGCTCAAGTCCTGATAAGTAACTTTTTTATCTTAAAAAACAAATTGATGCCCCAGAGTTCCAATGTTATAAAAGAATGTAAATAGCCCTTTGGAGCTCACAAAATATCTGACCAAAGGAAAAATAATATACTTCTGAACACTAAAAACAAAAATGCAGTTTCCCAATTAAGCATAAACATCTAAAATATTTTTCCTTTTACAATTTCATCAAACTAGAAATTTTTTAAATGCCATGTTTCCTTCCTACAACTATAGAGAACTTAATGTTTCAAATCAATAATTTTCTTTTTAACTTTGTGCTATTTAAAAAGGTAGCAATCGAGAGAATGCTGTGCGCCAAAACTTGCTAAGAATTTCACATGCATCTTTAAAATAGAAGAATCATTAAATAATGTATTTTAAGGCATGCTTTTAGGTTTTAATTGCTTCTTGATACTATTTAATTAAAGAAACTGATTATCACAAAAATATCCTAGTAATTTTACATAATAAAGCAGAATAAGTATAATCAGAGGATTCATTAAGATGAAAGTGTAAAATGTATAACATTAATAATCTTACCACAATATAAATTAGCTATTAGGTACAAACTGTAATTAAGCAATGTTATTAGGCATGTTTAAACTAAATGACACAAGGGGTTAAAAATAACCATACTGAAAGGCCAACAGCCTAGCAGCCTAGTTGAGCCAACATTCCCTTCTCCTCCCCTCCTCTTCCAAGTCTCTCAGTCCAGAATGAACTGCATGCCCCACTGCACAAGGCCCAAAAAGGTCACAGTACATGGCAGAGACTTTTGTAAGAGAACAGAAATAACCCAGTAGCTTTGTTACGGTAGTCTCTTTTAGTAGGTTCAAAATCCTTTAATTAGCACTCTGTCTACACAAGGAAAGCATTTTGCTGTGCCAGAGGAGGGAACATATGTATGTACACAGTGTTCTGTTGTATCAGCATCACAACATGTAGCTAGCACTTCAAATTTTCTGCCAGGGAACTTAAAGCATGTGAAACTTTTTCAAGCCACAGTATCACACAACTTACACAAACCATTTATACCTCTATTACCGAACAAAAGAGTAATAATTATACTTGTTTCATATAGGCCTGAATTTGTTTCTGGACTTTTCTTCAGCCAAAAACAGTAGCATTTTATACTACACAATAACTTTCTTTACTTAACATATAATGTTAAAACAAAAATAGACATTATTCTGTCCATATAACAAATCTTCAGTAGAAGAAAAACACTGCCTCACCCAAACAGGAATAAATCACAACACACATTTCACATGGATACTTTACATTTAAAATTTCACTCAACCACAACATTTCTTAAAACTGAGGACTGAATTACTTATGTGATATTTCCTTGCAAAATCCGATAACCCAGAATCAAAATAGATAACTACTCAAAAAATCTACAACCAAAAAATAATGAAAACTTCTCTAGTTAAAAGGGTATTTGCAATATTGTAATGGGGATATATGCTAGGTGATACAAACAGTTTTAAGCTTTCCGAATCAAGTTAAAGGTATATACATACAGACAGTTAAAAGAAGGCATGTATGATGCAGAGTATGTATATATACATATTTATACATCTATACATATAACTATAATTAAACAAAATTAGAGCCTTCTAAATATCTGATTAGAGAAATAATCTAACTAAATTTAAGATAAAGTGAATTACTAGAGGCAGCATAGCATAACTGTTTGAATGTCAACATTTCCAGACCAGCCATGACCTCACAGCCCTCTGTACAATGAGAATACTCCCACTTCAGATTGTTATGAAAATCAGATGATACATTTATAACAGGTGGTAAAAAAATTCCAAGGAGTCTTGGTAAGAGTGGGATTGGAGCAAAACAAAAATGGAATAGTTATTTTCAGGCATAACATAAATGTGTAAATGGACACAATTTATCAAAATCACCTATATATTCATATATGTAGATATGAATTATATAGTGTCTACTACAGCATTATTTATAATAGCAATATTGTAAACATAAAAGTCATTTAGTCATGGATTAAATAAATGAAAAGAGACTATCAATAAGGAAAGTTCTCTATGATAACTTGTTGAGAAAAAAAGCAAAGTACAGTATTGTATGTAATATGCTATTATTTGATTAAAAGAAGAGAAATCCACACTTATCAGAAGTAAAGATTCTTAGCTTTCTTTATCAAGAAATGATAAATGTCAGAGGAGATAACTGTTTTACCTTGATTTAAACATTATGAAATGTATACATATAATCAAAATATTATATGGTACCCCATTAATATGTATAATTTAATGTTTTTATGTATATTAAAATTTTAAAACAAGAAATTCATATTTATCTGAATACACAAAACCTCTGAAGAGTTGGACAATTAATAGTAATAATTACCTACTGATGATGAGTGAAAGTGTCTGACACAGTCAAGCCATAATAAATAGAAGCAATAATTATTCCCCTAATCAGAAAAATCATCACAAAAACTCATTTTAAAAATATATCACAGAAGTGGTGCCACCACCTGCCTTGCAAGCATAAGGTCCCAAGTTCAATCCTTGTTA